CTGAGATTTGGGTTCCATCCTACAACAATCGGCCCCTGGGGATTTTGGGACAATAACTACTCCGACAAAAACTCCCGATCAAAAAACCCTTGGACAATAACCCACCCTGGACGATAGCCCATCGTGGGCAACTTCCTCCCCCGTGAACAAAACCGGCTTGAAAAATACAGGTCTCTCATTTATCATCAAAAAGGATCTTATTGAATACATATTGTCGAAGAGATTCTAGTGTCTCAGAAGTCTTGTAATCCATGATGGAATTTGTAAAATCGAATAAATGAAGTGATGTTGTGCAGTGTTATGGACTGTTACTATGGATATATTCAACGGCGGTATCGAAAGCTCCCCTGCAACAACGGGGTTCCATTTTGTCGAGGTTATGCAGGCTCCCTTTCTTTCATAAAGGTAATTGTGGGGGCGCTGATCTCCATTTCCATGTTATTGGCCGGGAGTGCGTTAGCTACGTCAGCTACATGACAAACATAGTGTGTCATCCCTGTTTCCTTCACGTAGAGCGGTACTCATTTATCAACCCCGGGAGGTAGAAGCCCAGCTTGGTTCGAAACCGATTCTGAGTGGACTGCTCTACCGACTGAGAAAGCCCGATCTAAAGCAACCTGCTGGTAAATTTCTTGCTCAAGGGAATTTGTGAATGAGGCAAAAAGATTGTCCTCCGGCGGAATCGAACTCGTCACCTTCGAAGTTCGAAGCCGACCTCTTAACCATTGTGCCAACAAGGTGTCATTCTTCCTTGAAGATGGTCTCCACGGAACACTCGACCGCATTTCATGCTCTGTATGCTTAAGAGGTGGGCGATGGAGTCACTGAAACAGGAAAAGAAATTCAAGTATTTCAGCATCGTGTTTTGAAACGACGGACAATGGGAAACAAAGATCGACTGACGCGTAGAATTGGCAAGTTCAGTTCTCTTTAAGCAATGGCAAATCATCGTTGCCAATGCAAAACCATATCCGAAAATTGACCTCTCTAGGGTGAAAATTTCTTTTCCTATGTTCAGCTGCGGTAAGAAGTAATGAATAATGTATGAAATACCTTCGGTTAGAAGCGGCTGAAACGGATTTCTTCAAACACAACACAGTATTATACCTCTGGAGTGAGTTCAGAGTTCACTTTCTCTTACTGAGAGGTCGTGACTACAATAATGAATTCATGTCCTGTGAGTGCCATTGAAGATGCCGATCAAATAGCAAGATGCCGAGGTAGACCCGTAGCAAGTACGAGTGAGCTATGAGGGGAATACACACTGTCGTTTATTGTCCTGATCTGAAATTCCATACATCAGTCGCGTCGCCTCTTAAAGGAAGTGCATGCCGTAGCTATGCTTTATAGAATATTCCATTTGATGAAACGGAAAGTTACTGCTTGGGGAAGATCACCGAAATATAGACAAATTTAATAAGAAATGAATCAGTAAAAAAATAACACGAAGCAAATAAGATAGAAGCAAACCATGGATGATCGACCTGTTTGACGGCTACTGCACGACTGAAAAGTGAATCAGCATATGATGACAGTTCGGTTATTTTTAAATACAGTCAAAAGTATGCGTGTAAGATTTGCCATATATCTGCAGGGTCATTTTTCCTTTTTCAGAAATGTGGCGACTCGACGCTAACCAGCCCCGTGTTGGTGAGATCCTCCAAAGCAAATGGCAGCTGCAGGAGCCAGTTAAACAAGGCGAACATCGATCGGTATTTCGAGCACGAAATATCGATACGTCCGATGAAGTAATAATAAAGGCAAGCTTTTGATAAAGTATTTTCGAACTGATTAATGCTTCAACGCTACTCCTCTCAAGGATGAAAGCTAGCTTGGAATTAAGGGTAAAGTATACAAAATTTATTGTCATAACGATTCCTGAAAATCAAACATGTTGTTCGGTTCTGTGCTTCGATGGAATTTTCCATTCATGTACTGTAGGTGCTGATCTGTACAACCGTACCTTGCTTAGCATGTCCCATATGCCGCTAGACGCAAGGAAACAATGTGAGTATGGTGTACGAATCCGGAAATGCGTTACACGCATTCTGTGGTACCAGTAGTATCGAAAACAAACGAATTAAGACAAGAGCAACTTTCGCTTTCGTATTTGGGTAATTATACAGAATCACATGACACGATGGCAGTACCGGTTTGAATAATAGACATCAAAACTGGAGATTTCCTACTGCGTTCTCAGATATCAGACGGTCCCATTACGGTAAATCAAGCCTGTTTTCATTCAGATGCTTATAAGCGAGTTGACGAAAAACTCAGGAACATTGACCGAACAAGTATTAGTCAAGTTCAGTTGGCGGAGAATCAGAAGCTGAAAGGAGCATACAACTGCTAACCAAAAACTGAATGATGAAATGGAGGACTGTTTCAATATACGGACATAGGTGGATTGACTGAGCCCTGTAGAATGTCGGAAAATTCGCAATGAGTTTTGCAATGCTCATGATGGTCATGCGGGAGTATCTCTACTCTGAATGATGGGCCAAATAAACATTCTAGCCAATCAAGCGCAATTTTGCCAAGAATGACGATCAATTAAAATTGACTTTGTCGAGCGCTGATTGGTTCTTCAGAAACCGGAAGTGAATCGCGTACATTTTTTCCACAACTTGATCTGTTTCTAAGTTCTCGACGGTGATTCGTGCATCAAGTTCTGTTGTGTATCCTTTTAGCAAGGCAAATCGATGATTACGTTTCGTCTAATCACTCGTGAACAACATCTGAGGGACCAGATTGACCAACTATCTCGACAGTCGTCAGACACAATCACTGATAACAGAGGAACAACCATACTGTGAAGTTGCGGCATGAGTATGTTTTCGACATTTTTCGTTGTCGGTTATGTGTTCTTTCCGGTGTGTAATACTGGCTGATTGAACCAGCCTGTCAAAAGAGTTGTTTACCATAGCCGGAGGCTTATTTTTTCTACCGTTAAAAATGAGCCGAACCAAATTTTACCGTCATTTTAGACAGAGGTCATTGGCGGGATTGAAGCGCTGCTATCTCAGGACATGAACGTGATCAAGGCACTGATGAAACATCGTTCAAGCCATGTGCTGCAACTTCAAGGCCTCGGTCGCCGGCAAAAGCGGTACAAGTGGATGGCGACTGAGCTTGGAGGCACGAGCTTAATGCGACTGCAGAAAACGCTCCCAGGGCAGCGCTTTTCTACCAGGACTGCGTTGTTTTTGGCCTATATGACACTGGAGGCAATCGAGCATGTCCACAAAGTTGGGTACGGTTCGTCAGATGTTTTCTTGTCGATTTCCGACTGTTATCGCTCATACTTTTACTCATCCTGTTATCATACTGTTATTGTATTTTACTCATATTCATACTGCTATCGCTCATACTCATACTTTTAGGTACGTACACAGAAACATCACACCCGGACATTTCCTAATCGGCAAGCCTCCTTTCGTCAGACGATTGTACATCGTCAGTTTTTGCAACGCCAGGAAATACTGGGGCAGTGATGACAAACATTTGCCTGAACGTCGTAGAATCGCTTTCAAGTCCACCCAACGCTACGCATCACCAAATGCGCTTCGTCTGAAAGACCAAAGCCGCAGAGACGATCTAATATCATGGTTCTTCATGGTTGTCGAATTTTTTAACGGATGCCTGCCTTGGACAACGGAAGAAGTTGATTTCCGAAAGCCCGTCGTAAGTAGCACTTTAACTTATGTCGTAGTGTGCAGTGATATATAAGTTTCCAAGTGACAACAGATTACTGTCTTGGCAGATCGGCAGAGGAACGTCACTTTTTAGAGGAATATCTTAATTCTACATGTTTTACATCGAGTTCAATCATCTCAGCAACACCTTTTCCTTTTGGGTTGAGAGGAGGCATCTAATCTAGCAATTTCTCTGGTTTTTAAACCGATTTCTATCATAATTCTCCAATACATTGTTGCCGTTCTTCGCAAGGTTTGCCGCTGGGTGCCTGTTTCGTGACTTTATAGATTGAATCAGCATTGCAAATTTCCTTCCTTGCGTTCACAGCAAAGGAACAAAGTAATAACAAGTTAACAAGTTTTGCCTCGAGAAACTATTGCATCTGCGATCCTCTAATTTATGGAAAGAGCGACTCTCAGAAAGAGGTATCGTGTGTTGCTATGTTCTCTCACAGATCGACTCACTTCAGCAGGCATCTTTAACCGCGATCTCGAATCCCATGGCTCATATGAAAATATAGTGTATTTGTGTCCCCGCGTTGCAAATATGGAACGCGTGGACGAAGACCTCGACGCTGCGACTAAGTAGTGTTATCGGACTTTCTCAAGAATCGTTTCAAACCTGCGCAGGTTTCAAATTTAACTTAAATATACCACCTGCCAATAGAATTATATCTATATTTCCAGCTAAAAGTCTTCGCCTTCCGACCCACGATCAGTGGCAACAGTTATAAGTTCGATTTCAGTTTTTTTTTTACTGATGCGTTTCGGCGCCCCACACGGGCGTTTTCATCTCGGTAATAATATCCGAACAAAACTGCAGATAAATAATTCGAAAGTATACTGTTCATATTTCAGACAAAAATCGATTGAACGGTACGCGGATTGTTTGTTTTATTGCTATACTTTCCGTTTAGTTTGCGGTTCAGTATGAGCAAATGTTGAAAGTCATGGCTGAAGAAAGAGAGAAATTCATAAGCGTCGAATTGACCCAGCTGATTGGGGGAGCGCCAGTGCAGCTTTATAGCATAATCAACTATTTAACGACACTTAAATTTGATGACAACCCATGCTATGCCGTTCTCCGAAATTTACTTTTCGAAGCCTGTTGCGAAAGAGTGCAAGACCATGCTCAAATCCTGGATTATGAAACGCCGGAAATGGTTGAAGCCAGACAGCTTCAGCCAAGTGTCGAAGAAACCTTTACCTCCAGGTCGCTGTCCACCTCCCCATCCATATTAGACCTCTTTGAGAAAGAGGAAACCGGTAACGATGGCGCCGGTGCTCAACTACATTCCGAACGAAACGAAGGCAAGAAGCACATGGGAGCGAAAAGCAAAAAGCAATAAGTAAATCAGGGAATCTGCCCATGAAACATTGAGCCAAGCACGGATGAACGCTGGATAAGACTCCTTTACGGACAGAACGTTGCCTACACAGGTGCAGCTCTGTTGTTCACTATAATTATGTAAATCGCTGACGTCGAGCGCAACTCTGCTGAACGCGATGATTATTATTACTTGTTTACAGTAAATTTGCTATTGAACTGTTGCATTCGTCTCGTTCATCCTCAGAGCCAGCTATTCCTTAGAGTGAAGGAGCCCAGCAGATTCAGCAGGTTCCTCAAATGGTTCCGGCCCTGCACTACAGTTAGGCACCTCCAGGGCTCAAGATCACCCAAAATTTAACTTGCCTTGATTTTGCAATGACGACACGACCAGCTGTTCCAGGAAGTCGTATCGTGGAATAAAGCGCGTTGGCAACTATCGTGGGCTGGCAACTACATTTCTCAATCCTTCAACAGTTGATGAGGAACAAATATTCATCCTTGCAAAATATCGGCAATACGCAAGGTTTTGTACAATCGTCCATGCACTTGAACATTCTGAGTGTTGAGTCATGCTCGTTTCACGGTAAAACGTATGCTGATGAAATATCTGTTGGTGGCATTCTGAAGATTGAGAGCAGTGTTAGCCAGCGGTTACTGACACTAATAAAAGTTCTCATCTGACACACTGGACCTTCAAACATTATGGAGTACGTATGAGTAGAAATACACGAACAGAAGTATCTCTTGAACTTGCTGCTCAAAAGCTTGACCTTCGCATGAAACGCATAAAGATCACCTAGAATTAGTATCTCACAGCGTTGATTCACTGAACAGATGGTGTTGCAGAACTTCCCGGTTTTCTCCGTTACACTCTGAGTTCGCTAACACACTTGGCAGCTAGCCATCAGCTGAGTTATGACAAAGTGCAGCTGCAAAAAACCTCAGAAATTATGGTCGTACATCAAATCCATTCTGATATGACACGTCAGAATTCTGTGCAATTCTAATCGTTCGCTAGTCGACTTACAAAACGTATGAACATCGGATAAATTCTTAACTATTAAGACAAATATCCATATATAATCTTAATTTGAACACGGCACCTCCGAAGTTTAAAGTCGACCTCCTTTCAGCTGTGACACTGCGCAGAGCGGCTCCAAACCTTTATCAACCGCCCATAAAGAAACTGGAACAATTTCTTTCCAAGCATCTCAATGCTTTCTCAGAAATGGAAAGAAAGGCAGTCGCGGAGTTTTGAAAGACAGGTCAGTACACCTTCTCACCAAGGAAAAAGATACAATTCGTCGATGCAGCTTTAAAGATCTCCATAACCTTGAGCAATCGCCGAAGACTCGCTTTAAAAGAGCACCAGGCAACGTATTTTAGTAGTCGCAGAATCTGCAGAAAGCATCAAAAGTGGCAAGGCAGCAGGAATCGATGAAACATGTCCTGGGATGCCTAAAGCGAACAAGGCCAGCATACGCTTACATTTGTCCACTGAACTGCAGTG